GGTTACCAAGATATACACATGTAACCATAAGTGGGCGTGGCTACGCCCATTTTCCAAAAATTTACAATATTCTTATTTTTCGTCTAAAACTTATTGTAAATATCAATTTTGAGTAAATAATCTACAGTAGTTACTACAATATCGCAGTTTTCGTATTTTTGAAAATTACCGTTATATGGGAAGTGGGCGGGGATACTGTCCGATTTCGCCCATTTTCAATACCAACCTACCTTGGATAAATGGAAACCTACATACCAAATTTCGTTGAGATATCTCAATTTTTGCTCGAGTTATCGTGTACACGGACGGACGGACAGACGGACGGACAGACAGACATGGCTTAATCGACTTCTCTATTCATTCTGAGCATTTATGTATCACTTTGTCTATATCTATCTCGATTCGTTTTGGCTGTTACAATCAACCTTTATGTGAACAAAATTAATATACCCTTGTGCACAATTGCGCTCGGGTATAAAAATTTTCCTTTCGCCGACGCAAAACCGATCACCGTAATGTGCCTAATGATTATGATATTGTGGCAATCAAATTACACTGTGATAGTTTTTTTTTTCAAATATTTTCAAAGACATGGCCGCGGAAGACGGTTTCACCCTATTTAGTGTATGGGGGATCGAACTGCATCATTAGTTTTTTAAGTTTTCTGCACGCCTTTATACAACTTTTTGTTTTGAAAATCTTGCCTCCAATGGAAATTTTTCAGTTGTTATACCCTATTTTATGGCTTCTAACTTTTATCTGGTTTGCTTTTTTGGCAAAATTTCTTTGACAAATTTGTTTCGAACGTCTCAGGCCTTCACTTTTGTGAACATACCAAACTCCAGAAAGTAGGTCTTGGACACTTTTAGGTGGAAAATCCGAAAGCAGCTTTATACTAATTACACAGGAGAACACACAAACAAAAAGTTTTATGAACCAGAGGGTAGACCCCACTATTTCTAGAGTTTTGGGGTTGCTGAAAACGAATATGACCAAAAATTAGCTTCAACTGACCGTTTTTCCCGCTACCGCCCTCTTACAACCAAGATGGGTGTGTATTCTTACCTTCCTTGGGCCGTTGAAACCGAAAATGACTGTAAAAAATAAAGTTGTAAGGTTGAAAATGGTTTATTTGTAAGCAAATATAATGACTAAATAAAAAAAAAAAATAAGTGGATATGTGATTAATTAAAGATAGTACTACGTTTACTTGTGAAGCTTCCACAGAATACAACGACGAACTTTATTAACACTTTCAATCCTTCTGCCCAATCTTCATTATTGATACAATTTCTTACCAATTCGACTATTGGAATCATGTTTTGTTTTCTGCTTTTTAATGTGTGAAAGATTATGGGCCGTTTTCACAGTCGTTAGTTAGTCTTTAGTTAACTTTAACCAATAGCTATTGGTAAACGATTGGTTAACTAAAATTTTATTTCTCGATACTTCATTTAACTAATGGTGTAATATATTTAAAAGTATGGCAACACTAATGAAAACATATGATTTTAGTCTGCACATATTTGTGTAAATAATTGTTTTCAAAATAAAAGCGCGACGATGGCAAAGAGAAGTAATAATTTTTCGGCGGCAGAAATTGAATCATTGCTTGAAATTGTGGAAAAGCACAAAAAAATCATAGAATGCAAAAAAAGTGATGCAGTGACCACATTAATGAAGAACAAAGAGTGGAAAACAATAAGCGAGGAATTCAACAGTGGCAGCAGCGCATCCTTTCGCGATGAAAAAGTTCTTAAAACGAAATACTATAATTTAAAGAAAGAAATGCGGAAAAAGGCAGCATTCAACAAACGCAGCCTATGTGGAACTGGTGGTGGCCCTCTAAAAGAAATCAGTGTTACAAATGTGGATATGAAGTTGCGTGAGATAATGGGTGCACAGCAAATCAAGGGGATGGAAGCTAGTTATGATTGTGACCAGGACAGCTCGGAACAAAGACCAGCATTGACATATAATGGTTAGTTCATACTGCAAAGAAATAAAATTATTACGTTTTTAACTTCAACGGTTGCAATTTCCCTTCCAGATGAAGTAATGATCATCGAAAAACTTGAAAGTCCAGAGACGGTTCTTGGGGATGACGACGGCGTACAAATACAAAAGGTTTTTGGTGACGATAGTGAACAAGTACAAAGCGCTGATGATTACCAACCCATTAGTTTGCGATCCACTAAAAATAAAAAGCTCAGAGTACTGCAGAATCCGGCTCACAATAATATATCGTGGTCGAAATTAGCAACAATAAAAGCGAATTGGAGCGAAAAGAAGAGCCGTGTTGAAATAGATCTACTGCAAGAGGAACATGAAAAAAAGATGATGATGTTGCAGCGGCAAATAGAACAAAACGAAATCGAGCATGAAATGCGCATGGCAATTCTAAGGAAACGAAACAAAGAGATGGATTTGAAATTAAATAAATTTGAGGAAAAGTCACGAAAATAACAAATTTGAATCGTCGGCTGAAAAGTTCTGTTTCAACTATAAGAATCAATCGAAGTTCCTTTTTTCCTAATAGTGATTATATGCTTGGATTTATTTTTGTATATATATTTAGGGTATTCACAAGATGTCATTAGCGTCGTAATTTCTTAAAGTCGTAAAATTTGTCAATGTAAAATAATAGTTAAATTGTTTTAAGGAATTTCTATGGTATAATGAAGGTACTAATATATTTTATTTCAGTTTAAAAACATTTTGGCATAGTTACAAAGCCTCAACCGCTATTTTACATAGAACAATTTTACGACTTTAAAAAATAACTTCGCTTATGACATTAATTGGATATGATATGAATTAAGTGCCTTTTTTGTTTTTTACGGTAATCCAAATACTATAAAACATTAAAAACCTGAAGTGTACAAAACAAAATGGAAACAATACATGAAATACGCCTGTTTGAAAATTAAAACTGCTCTTTTGGCTTTTGCTCATGTATGGTACGATGAACTACAACGAATTTTTATTTCAATAGTGTTATTGAGCTTTGTACCACGATTTGTTTGTTAGGAAAAATGGAACGAATACAACGAATTTTATTTATTGGATTGGGAAAAACAATGAATGGTAATTTTAGTAAGTAAATATCTGGTTTTATGTTTGTGATCATAGATTCAATTAATTAATTGTATGACGCTTTCAGTTCAAGACCACACGGATCCAATCTGTGTCACATCTTTTCAATATTACAGAGTTGAAAAATACCCGTTAATAATATCATTTCTAACTGCATTTTTTTCGATGCGGCCGTTGGAGCCTCTGTTGTTTGGAATGTTTAATGCCGCAATGATTTGTTGATCAACTTCTGGAGGCAACGAAGGCGCTTCAGAATCGTGATGTAGTAAGCAGATGTTGTGCAAAATCGCTGTGGCGACAATAATCGGTTGAACCTTTTTACATGCAACCCGAATTCCTAGGGATAGAACTGGAAATCTGCGCTTCCAAACTCCATAGGAACGTTCGACAACGTTTCTTGTTCTTATATGGGATTCATTGTATAAACTTTCAGCTTCGTTAGTGACTGAATGAAGCGGTGTTAAAACCCGATCATTATTTTCGTAGCCTTTGTCCGCCAGCACTATTGCATTTTCAAATTCCCCTGATTGCAAACGAACGCCAATTTTGGAATTCCGNGGACGCAACGTTACGGTGAATGGCGATCGCTATCGTTCGATGCTAACAAACTTTTTGTTGCCAAAAATGGAAGAACTGAACTTGGTTGACATGTGGTTTCAACAAGATGGCGCTACATGCCACACAGCTCGCGATTCTATGGCCATTTTGAGGGAAAACTTCGGAGAACAATTCATCTCAAGAAATGGACCGGTAAGTTGGCCACCAAGATCATGCGATTTGACGCCTTTAGACTATTTTTTGTGGGGCTACGTCAAGTCTAAAGTCTACAGAAATAAGCCAGCAACTATTCCAGCTTTGGAAGACAACATTTCCGAAGAAATTCGGGCTATTCCGGCCGAAATGCTCGAAAAAGTTGCCCAAAATTGGACTTTCCGAATGGACCACCTAAGACGCAGCCGCGGTCAACATTTAAATGAAATTATCTTCAAAAAGTAAATGTCATGGACCAATCTAACGTTTCAAATAAAGAACCGATGAGATTTTGCAAATTTTATGCGTTTTTTTTAAAAAAAAAGTTATCAAGCTCTTAAAAAATCACCCGTTACATTAAACGAAAAGAAGTTCTTTCTGTTACGAAATAACTCTGCATGATCTCCTCCTGAAAAAATTAAGAGCATGTGGGAGGGTTTAAACAACGTATATATGTATTTAAAAATTACCTGGAGATTGAATCTTCACGTGTGTGCAATCCAACGCACTGATCACACGAGGGAATTTCGAAACCATAAAAAAATCTTTTTGTGTTTTGCGTATTTCTTTTATAGCTACTGGGAACTGAATAAATTGTTTACGCAATCGTGCAATTTCATGTGAAACGAGAGTAATAACTCTCGATACAGTGCTTATAGATACACCGGCCGCATCTGCCATCAGTTGTTGTGTACTTCCTGTTGCATAAAATCTCAATGCAATGGCCAGCATGTGTTCTGGGGACAACGAATTGTTCCTATAAAGCAAAATTTAATAAATTAAAAGCAAATTTTTATCTAAATACATGAAGGACATTACCAGGTTGTCGCATGTTGTATATTGGGTCTAATAAGTTCCAAAACATCTCTTGCGGCTTGCTTGCATAAACGAAAACGTTCTCGAAAGTCTTTTTCATCGTAAAGAGTAAAGAAATTCGGACGACATTGTACTATCTTCTTTCGACGTTGTATCACAATCCTTAGCAACAAGTCATAATCTTCATCACTGTCACTGTTTTCCATGCTCATTTTAAATAAAAAAAGGTATTTCAATTTTTCTTTCTCATTAAAATAACTTTTGCCAAATTCTATTTTTTCCTTTCAAACAAATAGTAAAAACAGCTGTTTTTGACTATTGGTTAACTAATGGATGTACATTAGTTAACTATCAGTCAACCATTAGTCAAATTGATACTGTGAAATGAAAAGTGGTTGGTTAACATTAATCTATTGGTTAACTAAGGACTGTGAAAACGGCCCTATAAGAATAAAATTTTATTCACAACAAAAAGTATTCTATTTAACTATGCAAAACTAATTAATTGACATTCAGCGATCTCAAAAGCCTCAAAATACCGTAAAGTTTACTGATTTCTAAGTTTTTCTTTTCGCCATATTTGATCCGCCATTTCGACTTTTTGAAATCTGACTTCGGATTCCAAATACTTAAGCGAACCCTAAAGCGTTTGCATGCCATGTTTATCAAAACGCCCTGATTTTTTAATTTGAGTATTCGCCATATTGGATACGCCATTTTGAATTTTTAAAATCTGACTTCAAATTCGTAATCTGTGACTTCAAAAACATAAAAGCGCGTCTTAGAGCAAATAGTTTTGTCCACCTAGATTTGGATTTCAGACCTCTGTGGGGCGCTTTGAACCGAATAAAACCATAACGTAGTCATTTTCGTTTTCAGCGGCCCAAAAACATGGAATTACGCATACATTTTAATTTTGTATGCAAATTCAAAATACGAACTCATTAATAATATTTTGAATTAATAATATTTTTGAAATGTTCATAGTAGTGTTTGACCGAGCTGCTCTTCCGATTTGTGGCGAGCGCCTCTATGTTGTCACACAAAGATGAGGAACCTACAATATTACGTCTACTCCGAGCGGCAGGTGTATGTTTTTGAGATGCAGGTTTGCCATTGCCTGCCAAGGTCGACCGGTATTTGAAAAATATTTTTTTGTTTAATTTTTTTGGTGTTGGTCTTAAACTGGGCTCGAACTCATGCCCTGCGAAATGATCGTATACGCTGTTAACCACTGTACCACAGCGACCTTTTAAAAAGTCCTGTCGTCAGTGAAAAAAAGTAAAAACGCACATAGTTTCTTGAGCATGTTTATTGTTTTGTATCTTTTGAATTTTTTTGTTTTTTTTTCACACGGTGTTATCTGTATGAATGCTTGCATTTAATCAAGAGTGCCCAATATCTATTGAACCGTTAAGAAGTCGTTAATATTTTCCAATATTCTTTTATGGTTGTAGTTTAATTTCATTCTCATGTGTCCACACCATCCCATGTGGAATGATATTTTTTATTTATATTAATTTTACTATTATAACCGCTTACTTCAAAATTGTTTACTATCCACTTAAAATGGCTTCATATGCAGTTACACTTCGTTATCATCCGACATTGCCTTCTTTTCAGCGTGTACCAGCACTCACACTCATCGTATTTCTTCGTATTTCTTTGAATTTGCAATGCGTATTTGCAGTGCATAAATTTAAAACATACTACATACATATATATATGTATGCAAAACATATTTCCTTCATAAATCAATACCTTTATCCTTCGAAAGCTAAAAGTATTGGTTAGACAACTCAAAGCTTTACATGTGTTCCCCGAAAAATAAATTTTATAACTATTTTTTTACGCAACTAAATATTTTCACAGCAAATATGTGCATGTGCATCGACCGCACTTGGCTTTCAATAGACTCTCATAAAATCATATAAATGGGAAAATAACATTTTCCGGCCACAGTCCGGACGCAAGCAATATTCATAACTCGAGTCGATTGCCGGCACTCGAAGAAGATGCTCAAGTAGGGTTTTGCACTTTAATACAAACATGTTCTGTGCCATTCCATAGTCATATATGTAATAATATACATACGAGTATGTACATACATAGATACATAGATATATGGACGTGCTCTTACAGTTATTCAGAAAATTTAGTATACGCTGATTTTTTTTTAATATTGGCAATGTTTTTCGTGCAAATAAAATAATGGTTAACTTTTTATTATAATGTAGCTTTAATTTTAACAAACGAACACCATGTAAATCCAAGTAGGAAACTGTGCACGAAATTTATAGCCGTCTCACTTTAGACCAAAATGGACGTAAGAAGAAAAAAAATTCCAGGATATAATTCTGGTTTATTTATTCAGCGGATGGCTAATATTTTAGCCGATACACACTTTTTCTTAACACGTATGTAAAATCTCTCGAGCTGCCTTTTGACAAAATGGCCGAGTCTAGCTCGCGCTCTGTTCGCTTTCTTTTCCTTTTTTATAAGCTTTTATTTAACTTGGTCCGCCCGACAAGCTTTTTTAAAAACGAAGTAAATTAGTACAAATTGTTAGTAATTTTCATTAGAGTTTGAATAACTCCTTTCACTAAATGGCTTTTAGTAACTTTAACGAGACCTTAACTTATTTGATTTTATTCATTTTAGTGCAGTTTTGACAAAATTTTCTTGCTAAAAAATCTTTTGTTACACTACTTTATTTTATTCCTTTGATTGTACATGTTAAATAAAAGCTTGTTTTTAAAAAATATTTTTTTTACATTATTTTTTCTATTCAACTTTGCTAGGACTATTAAACATACCACTAACGTAATAACCGGTTTACATCTCATCTTGCTTAAGGGTAATATCATTACAACATAATATCCGGTTTACATCTCATCTTACTCAAAGCTAATATCATTACAAGGAAGACATTTTTTGACGCAGTTAGGTGTCTCCTGTTTAGGTGAACACAAAATGAAAATTTTTCCCCCAATTGCGACATGGGAAATGTCCGCCATCTCGGATCTTATGTTTTTACGATTTGCGCGCGAAGTTTGCATTTCCTACCAAAAAAGGTAGAGAATTCGATTCCCTACAATTTCCATATGCCTATCATTTTTATAAACAATTATTTATTGAAAATAATATGCAAAAAATGACCAAAATTAGGTAAGTGGCGCGGTTTTTTTTAAATTAAGAGCAATTTCTATTTGAAACAAGTGGCATATTTAAATGGAAAAGTTGTAGAGGACGAAATTTCCAATAAACGCATTATTTATATGTTCACGTACGACGTGTAGATCTCAACCAACAACGCGCTCAATGCAGCGGCAAGGGAGAAGCTACTCAAAACTTTTTTCCACTCCACTTCAATACAATAAAAATAATAATAATAATAAAAAAATTTAAATTTTAAATACATTTAGAATGTTGCTACTGTGAAATGTGTTATTGCAATGAGAAAACTGTTGCCAAATAAGCGTATCGAAAATAAATATCATATATTGATTTCACTTTGTTTATTACATTATGGTTTCACCAAATAATGTCGGCTTCCCATTGCCCCTTTCTCTTTTCGTGTTCGATTCTAAAATAAAGGCAAACGGTGAGAAAATTTAGTGTTTGTTTCTTAAAATGTCACACTCTTCTAAGGCAAAAGAGGCATATTCTCAGCCCTATGAAGCTGTGTCAGGGGAGATGGTTGCCCTGCAAAGCAGATGGTTGCTTAATGGTTGCGATCATCTATATATTAATACGCTAACATGAATTTTGTCTCCGTTCGTTTGGAGATTCTACCGAACCGATTTCCAAACCAAGAACACCATTGGAAAGGCCTTTTTCTCTAGATGAGCAGAGTTTTTATGGTTATAAAATTGGTTGAAAATTACGGCCTAAACCGTCGTTTAAACATTTCCGATTTGTGTATAGATGTTGCTGCACCATGTTCAATTTGAGATGTTTCGCATGTTGTTTCACTTCGCATTTGAAATTAAGCTTTGAAATAAAGACAAATATGAAGATGAAGAAACAAGTGATAACGATGAAGACAAAAAAAAAGGCAAAAGTGAAGATAAAGACGAAAATTGGGATAAAGGCAAAAATGGAGACAATGAGAAATACATAAGAATTAGGTTAAAAGATAGGANCTTTTTCACGTGGTGAAAAGCAGAAAATCCTAACTTGCTTAGAAGTGTACTAAAAATGTAGAGAAAGAAGAGTAAAAATACGACAAAATATAATTTAATGGTAATGAACAAAATACATTGAATTATAAGCTATAAAGACATGTTATACACTAGAAAAACGTATTATGGGCCAAAAATATTAATGCTGAGTAGTTTATGTATTTTTCTTTGTTGTCGTTTTCCTTGAGATCTTTTTACCATCTTTTATCATCTTANTTTTGAGTTATCGAAATTTATCGAGCCATCGAATTTCACAGTTATCGAAATTGGTCGAGTTAACGAATTTTGTTGAGTTATCACATTTTAGTGTTCTTGAAATTCATCGAACTATCGATATGTATCAAATCATTGAAATTTATCGATAAACTTGAATGTTGCGGGTCAATTCCAAGTCCTGCCGAAGTACTCCTATGACCTTCTCAGATAAAAAAGAAAATTAGTTACGTGTTAGCAGAAGATTTTCCGGTTAGTTAATTTGTACCGTATAAGTATCGCTACGTGTTAAGTTAGAAAACCTCTCCAAGGCTTCTAAAACTTGAAAAACTGTCGAATTTCGACAGTAACTGGCACTCTAGTATTATGAAATGCGTTAGCTAGACAAAGACTAGAAGGCAAAAACATGCCCTTTTACAGCGTTTAGTGTAACATTAAACGCATTTTGTACCGTCGAGCGGCAACATTTTTTGTCAGAAGCGAAATCACCATAAATTTGTAAAGTGTAACGAGAGCCGTGAGGGAATCATGCTGCCATATAATTATACCTTTCATGAGCATGAAATGGTATTATAACTTTGGTCCGATGTTTGTAAGTACCAGAACAAAAAGAGATAGACCCACTAAAATGTATACTTATATGATCAGAACGTCGAGCTGAGTTGATTTAGCCATGTCCGTCTGTCCGTCTGTCTGTCTGTTTGTATGCAATCTAGTCTCTCAGTTTTCGAGATATCCGGATAAAATTTGGTAGGTGGGTGTATTTTTATAATGTATTAATCATTTGTCGGAACCGGAAGAATCGGACC